GGCTGGAGGGGTCCACCATTCCATTTCTCGTTTGGACCGATCATAAGAACTTGGAGTACATCCGCACGGCCAAACGGTTGAACTCCAGGCAGTCCCGCTGGGCCCTGTTCTTCACCAGGGTTTAATTTCACTCTGTCATACCGGCCTGGATCACGCAACACCAAGCCAGACGCCCCTCTCCCGTCAATTCCAGAAGGATGACACCCCCTCCAAGGACCCTGTGTCGATTCTGCCAAGTCCCTGCATCGTTGCAGCTCTGACCTGGGCTGTTGAGGAACAGGTGCTGGAGGCTCTCCGTAACCAGCCAGGTCCCAGCACTTGCCCAGCTGACCGCCTTTTTGTCCCCGAAGACCTGAGGTCCCAGGTCGTTCAGTGGGGACATGACTCCCGCCTAGCTTGTCACCCTGGCTCCACCCGCACTTACAACCTGCTCGCCCAGAGGTTCTGGTGGCCCTCTCTGAGGAAGGATGTACGGGAATTCGTCCAAGCCTGCCCCATCTGCAACCAACACAAGTCGTCCTGCCAGCCCCCAGCCGGATTGCTGCAGCCCCTGCCTGTGCCCAGACGTCCCTGGTCTCACATCGCCCTTGACTTTGTCACGGGGCTGCCCCCTTCAAGTGGCATGACCGTCATTCTCACCATCGTTGACCGTTTCAGCAAGATGGCACACTTCATTCCCCTCCCCAAGCTCCCAAACCGCCAAGGAGACCGCCCAGGTGGTCCTGGAACACGTCTTCCGGATCCACGGACTGCCAAGGATGTAGTTTCTGACCGTGGTCCACAATTCTCCTCCGCTTTTTGGAAGGAGTTCTGTCACCTGCTGGGAGCCACAGTCAGTCTGACTTCCGGATTCCATCCCCAATCCAATGGGCAGTCAGAGCGGGCTAATCAGGAGCTCGAGAAGGCACTGCGATGCATGACTTCACGCAACCCCCCACTCCTGGTCGCAGCAATTGACATGGGTGGAGTACGCACACATTCTCTGACCTGCTCTGCCATCGGTATGTCCCCTTTCCAATGTGTTTATGGATACCAGCCTCCTCTATTTGCCAGCCAGGAAGAGGAGGTTACTTGCCCATCTGCACTTGCTTTTGCCCGTCGATGTCGCCGCACCTGGTCACAAGCCCGAGCCACACTCCTCAGATCCGTTGCCAGCTACACTACCGGGGCCAACCGTCGGAGAATTCCTGCTCCCACCTACCATGTTGGTCAAAGGGTGTGGTTGTCATCGAAGAACCTGCCACTCAGGGTGGAGTCGCAGAAGCTGGCACCTCGGTTCATTAGCCCATTCCCTATCATAAGAGTGATTAGCCCAACTGCTGTCCGGCTCCAACTGCCTAATTCCCTGAGGGTGCACCCCACTTTCCATGTGTCTAAGATTAAGCCCATCCATGAGAGTCCGCTGGTCCCTGCTGCGCCTGGTCCTCCTCCTCCACGGCTCGTCGATGGTGGTCTGGTTTACACCGTCCGCCGCCTGCTTCGGTCCAGACGGAGGGGTAGGGGTCTCCAGTACCTCATTGACTGGGAGGGCTATGGACCTGAGGAAAGGACCTGGGTGCCAGCTAGTCGGATTGTGGATAGGACTCTCATCACCGCTTTCCACCAACGGCATCCTGATCAACCTGCAATCCGTAGGGGCCGCCCCAGAGGGGTCCCTAACCGTCCGGCCCGCTCGGCTTCCTGTCCTGTGCCTGATCCTGTCTCGGGACCTGTCCCATCTCCCGACCACGGCCCTCCGGCTTCCTCCGAGGATGAGGACGTTCACTCGGACCGTTCGGAGGAGTTCTAGCCCTCCTCCGGCTCCCCTCCTCCCGCCCGGCGTGGTGTTGCTCTTGGGACTTCTGGGGCCGTCCCTTGGGGGGGGGGTTCTGTCATGGGCCTCTCACTCCACCGGGTTACCACCTTAATTTTCTTCCACTCTGCTCACCACTCTCTCTACTCAGCCTAACTAGCTCCACCTGTCCCTGCTCTGCTCTGCTCTAATTACTCTGCCAGCTGCGCTGCATTACCCACTACCTCTCCCAGTATTTAAGGCCCTGTCTTTCAGCTCTCCGGTGTCAGATCGTCTGCAAAGCTCACACCCGGAACCTGTTTGCTCGCGCTTCTGGCTCACCCTGGTTTTGTGACCCCGGACCTGCCTGTTTTTTGGATACTCTTCTGCCTCAGGAGATCCAGACCTGCTTCTGCCATTACGACTCCTGACTACTCTTCAATCCCGGTAACTCTGACCAGCCTTCTGCCTTGCTACTACGTATTTTGGATTTCCCTTGAACTGTACTGCTGCCTGGTTTCATTCCGCCCTGTTGTGTCTGTGTCTCCCCCCCCCAGGACTTCTGGACCACCCACCACCGGCTTCATAGGACGCATCGCTGCCACTGGGGGGGGCACAGACCCAGCGCATTGGACGGGATCCCTGTTACCCCTGGAGCCTTCATTCACTCCCTACTTCCCTTTGCCCTTAAGTTTAATAAACTTTCTGGTGTGACGCAATTGTGGTCCTCTGGTCGTCTGTCTGAACCGTGACAGGTAATCAGTTTATAATAGTAATAAGGCACCTTGGGGGTTTGTGATATATGGCCAATATACCGCGGCTAAGGGCTGTGTCCAGGCACTCCACGTTGTGCTCAAGAACAGCCCTCAGCTTACATTTTAGCCATTTAGCAGACACTCTTATCCAGAGCGACTTACAGTTAGTGAGTGCATACATTTTCATACTGCCCCCCCCCCCCCCCCCCCCCCCCCCCCCCCCCCCCGTGGGAAACTAACCCACAACCCTGGTGTTGCAAGCGCCATGCGCTACCAACTGAGCTACAGGGGACTCAGCTGTGGTATATTGGCCATATACCACAACCCCTTGGGCCTTATTGCTGAAATGTAACACTGGTGTTACAGTGGAAAAGCAGCACGTGTTTTTTCCGTAGGAGCGCTGGTGTCACACCAGGCTTTGAGATAAGTGTGCACAACTGACTTTCATGTAAATCATTAACTTATGTCAATGGGAGACTTGCACTGACATTTTTGTGGTTCTCAAGTCAGAATACAGCCAAGTGTGCATACTTGTACAAATTTGAAAAAACTGCGTTCACTCGTAAAATGTAGGCCTCATTATTTTGCATCTGGTTTTCGAAAAGAAGTTATATGTGTGTATGTAAATCATGAAATTAATTTAATCTTTGTTCATGTTCACTTTAAAACTTTTATTAAATGTTTTTAAAACTATTTTGGTGTGATCGTGTCTTGTATTTGAATATAAACGTATGAATCCCACTTTGTAACCAGGTTATTACATTGCAGGAAGTCAATGTTACATACAGCTTCATCAGGCCACATCAGGGTCTCAAATGCCATATCCTGCCGTTGTGGCCTTGAGTAAAGCACTTAACCACTAAAACTGCTCTTTGGACACTGCACTGGCTGCCCTCTGCTCCAATTTGTGCGTGTGTGTGTGTTTCAGAAGGGTTAGGATAAAGCAGAAAGCTGATCAATCAAGTATTCTCCATCAGATCACAGATCAGGCAGAATTGCTTCAGGCAGAATTCCTTCATGATTTCTTGGACTTTTTGGAACTGAGCTCTGCACAGAAAATAAAAAATAATAAAATAAATAGCATTAAACAAATGCAAGTCTTTGGTTTTCCCATCAGTGAGTCCTAACAATTAGCTATATCAGTTATCACCCTTTCAGATTCCAGGCAAAGCATCATACACACTCATCTATCTGGGGCGGCAGGTAGCTTAGTGGTCAAGAGTGTTGTGCCAGTAACCGAAAGGTCGCTGGTTCTAATCCCCGAGTCGCTAGGTGAAAAATCTGTCGACGTGCCCTTGAGCAAGGCACTTAACCCTGATTGCTCCTGTAAATCGCTCTGGATAAGAGCATGTAAAAAAATTTAAATGTAAAACATGACTTGAAATACACTGCATTGAGGAACTTGATGGAATGAGTCTCAGAGGAACACTTACTTGGGTAGACTGACTGAGCGGGACATGAAAGTCAAAATGACAAACAGGAATCCCACAAAAGCAGTCAGACTGATCCAGAATATGATCACTATCAAGTCTGAAGAGTGACAATGTTAGTATTGCTGCATTACACTAAGGATTCTTCCCAAATGAAACCCTATTCCCTATATAGTGCACTACTTTTGACCAGGGCCCATAGGGAATAAGGTGCAATTTGGGACACACTTCTTATCAACTATTCATAAAAGTAAAAACAAGAGTGGCTCACAGAAATATAATCTAGATTATATTTCTATGTGGTGGTTTATTTTGGGTTTGTGAAGTATCACTTATTTCTTATATCTTATATTCTAGATTATATATAGTTTTTCTTGTGTTGTCAGCTACCCGTGAAATCCACATCGATCTTTATGATTAGTATAATGAGTTTACTGTAAATTATCGATTTATCATGATATAAAATTCAGTAGTGAGTCAGGGATGTTGTATTAAAGTAAGGCGGTAGTTTAATCATGGAGGATTGTATTAAATTATTCGGTAGTTTAATCATGGAGGATTGTATTAAATTATTCGGTAGTTTAATCATGGAGGATTGTATTAAATTATTCGGTAGTTTAATCATGGAGGATTGTATTAAATTATTCGGTAGTTTAATCATGGAGGATTGTATTAAATTATTCGGTAGTTTAATCATGGAGGATTGTATTAAATTATTCGGTAGTTTAATCATGGAGGATTGTATTGACTTAATCAGTAGTTGAGTCAGTTGTGGCTGTATTGAGTCAGGTGTGGCTGTATTGAGTCAGGTGTGGCTGTATTGAGTCAGGTGTGGCTGTATTGAGTCAGGTGTGGCTGTATTGAGTCAGGTTGTGGCTGTATTGAGCTGGTACAAAAATGTAAGAGTTGAGAAACGTTACTCTTTCTGATCTACTTAATGGCCAACTAAAGCAGAACATAACTGTAAACCTCTCTCATTACGGGTTCTTATTCCTCCAATTTCTGTCTTTCTCCCTCTGTCTCCCTTTCCCTCTCTCTCTGCAGAGTAAGATCATCCGTGTTCTCAACCTGTGGCAGAAGAACGCTGTGTTTGAGATGGACATCGTCCAGCCCCTGTTGGACATGGCTACTGGCTCCTTAGTCCCTGATCCCTCCCCCCAGGAGGACCTCCAGGCCCAGGCCCAGGTCTCCAGTGCCTCCATAGCTGCAGCCCTGCCCCAGCTCCCCCCACAGCTCCAGAACCCCGAGGCCCTGGCTGCCGTGGCCCAGCTCTTCCAGTCCGGACAGGGACACGAGGTGAGTGAGAGCCATAGAATGAAATGATGCATCACAATACCAGGTCGGCCGTGGTGAGCGTACCCATGGAGATCCTGTATTCTAATTCTATGAGAGTTACCCATGGGGTTACCTGTCAGATTGCCATGGTTAGAGGTTCTATTCCAGTTCTACTCGTTCTAAGTCTGTTGTTATAGCGACACTACTAGCTCATACACCCCACAACAACACGACTGGGACAGAACATTCAAATACAATGTGTCTTGTCTCCTCTTCACCATTTTGCTCTTTCTTGACCAATCATTTGGCTGTTTTGCTGTGAACTAGGTATTTCTTCTGAATAAGGTTCTATACCAGGCCAATAAAGGATAAATACATTATATTATCTTGCTTGTCACCTAGGTAGTAAGTGATTTGATGGATTGAGTGTATTCCCTCCTGTCTGTACAGCTTCAGAAGATGCTTCAGAGGTTCCAGCCAGCGCAGCAGACCCCCCCTGTGGTTCCCAACGCCATGGCTGACCAGACCCCCCCTGTGGTTCCCAACGCCATGGCTGACCAGACCCCCCCTGTGGTTCCCAACGCCATGGCTGACCAGACCCCCCCTGTGGTTCCCAACGCCATGGCTGACCAGACCCCTCCTGTTGTTCCCAACACCATGGCTGACCATCCCCACCCACAGATGGTCCAAGGCCAGCATAACTCACACCATCCACTGTTCAACACACACCAGACACATCCTACGGAGCAGAAGAACTCGCTAGCTAAGGTAATGCATTTTTTGTACTCAAAGCACATTTCTGACCAACAGACAATTAAGAGGCCTAATCTAACAGGACATTTCTATTTATTTATTAGGATCCCCATTAGCCGACGCCAATGGCGACAGCTAGTCTTACTGGGGTCCGATACATAACGAAAAAGACATTACAGACAAAATCAATCAAATGTATTTATAAAGCCCTTTTTACATTAGCAGATGTCACAAAGTGCTATACAGAAACCCAGCCTAAAACTCCAAATAGCAAGCAATGCAGATGTAGAAGCTCAGTGGCTAGGAAAAACTCCCTAGAAAGGCAGGAACCTAGGAAGAAACCTAGAGAGGAACCAGGCTCTGAGGGGTGGCCAGTCCCCTTCTGGTTGTGCCGGGTGGGGATTATAACAGTACATGGCCATTAAGGCCAGATTGTTCTTCAAGATGTTCAAACGTTCATAGATGACCAGCAGGGTCAAATAATAATCACAGTGGTTGTTGAGGGTGCAACAGGTCAGTACCTCACGATTAAATGTCAGTTGGCTTTTCATAGCCGAGCATTCAGAGGTCGAGACAGCAGGTCCGGGACAAGGTAGCACGTCCGGTGAACAGGTCAGGGTTCCATATCCGCAGGCAGAACAGTTGAAACTGGAGCAGCAGCACGACCAGGTGGACTGAGGACAGCCAGGAGTCATCAGGCCAGTTAGTCCTGAGGCATGGTCCTAGGGCTCAGGTCCTCCGGGAGGGGAGGGAGGGAGAGAGAATTAGAGGGAGCATACTTAAATTCACACAGGACACCAGCTAAAACAGGAGAATTACACCCGATATAACAGACTGACCCTTGCCCCCCGGCACACAGACTATTGCAGCATAGATACTGGAGGCTGAGACGGGGGGGGTCGGGGGCACTGTGATACCGCCGGGACAGGGCCAACCAGGCAGGATATAACCCCACTCATTTTGCTAAAGCACAGCCCCCACACCACCAGAGGGATATCAACAGACCACCAACCTACTACCCTGAGACAAGGCTGAGTATAGCCCACAAAGATCTCCTCCACGACACGAGCCCGAGGGGGCGCAAAACTGACAGGAAGATCACTTCAGTGACTCAACCGACTCAGGTGACGAACCCCTCCTAGGGACGGCATGGAAGAGCACTAGTAAGCCAGTGACTCAGCCCCCGTAATAGGGTCCGAGGCAGAGAATCCCAGTGGAGAGAGGGGAGCCGGCCAGGCAGAGACAGCAAGGGCAGTTCTTACCTCCAGTGCCTTGCCGTTCACCTTCGCACCCCAGGGCCAGACTACACTCAATCATAGGACCTACTGAAGAGATGAGTCGTCAGTAAAGACTTAAAGGTCGAGACCGAGTCTGCGTCTCTCACATGGATAGGCAGACCATTCCATAAAAATTGAGCTCTATAGGAGAAAGACCTGCTGTTTGCTTAGAAATTCTAGGGACAATAAGGAGGCCTGCGTCTTGTGACTGTAGGTATGTACGGCAGGACCAAATCAGAGAGATAGGTAGGGGCAAGCCCATGTAATGCTTTGAAGGTTAGCAGTAAAACCTTGAAATCAGCCATAGCCTTAACAGGCTAGCACTGGAGTAATATGATCACATTTTTGGGTTCTAGTCAAGATTCTAGCAGCCGTGTTTAGCACTAACTGAAGTTTATTTAGTGCTTTATCCGGGTAGCCGGAGAGTAGAGCATTGCAGTTGTCTAATCTAGAATTGACAAAAGCATGGATTAGCTTTTCTGCATAATTTCTGGACAAAAAGTTTCAGATTTTTGTGATGTTACGAAGATGGAAGAAAGCTGTCAAAAGAGAGATCAGGGTCCAGAGTAACGCCGATGTCCTTCAGTTTTATTTGAGACGACTGTACAACCATCAAGATGAATTGTCAGATCCAACAGCAGATCTCTTTGTTTCTTGGTATCTAGAACTAGCATACAGTGGGGAGAACAAGTATTTGATACACTGCCGATTTTGCAGGTTTTCCTACTTACAAAGCATGGAAAGGTCTGTAATTTTCAGAATCCAGAAAATCACATTGTATGATTTTTAAGTAATTAATTTGCATTTTATTGCATGACATAAGTATTTGATCACCTAGCAACCAGTAAGAATTCCGGCTCTCACAGACATGTTAGTTTTTCTTTAAGAAGCCCTCCTGTTCTCCACTCATTACCTGTATTAACTGCACCTGTTTGAACTCGTTACCTGTATAAAAGACACCTGTCCACACACTCAATCAAACAGACTCCAACCTCTCCACAATGGCCAAGACCAGAGAGCTGTGTAAGGACATCAGGGATAAAATTGTAGACTTGCACAAGGCTGGGATGAGCTACAGGACAATAGGCAAGCAGCTTGGTGAGAAGGCAACAACTGTTGGCGCAATTATTAGAAAATGGAAGAAGTTCAAGATGACGGTCAATCACCCTCGGTCTGGGGCTCCATGCAAGATCTCACCTCGTGGGGCATCAATGATCATGAGGAAGGTGAGGGATCAGCCCAGAACTACACGGCAGGACCTGGTCAATGACCTGAAGAGAGCTGGGACCACAGTCTCAAAGAAAACCATTAGTAACACACTACGCCGTCATGGATTAAAATCCTGCTGCGCACGCAAGGTCCCCCTGCTCAAGCCAGCGCATGTCCAGGCCCGTCTGAAGTTTGCCAATGACCATCTGGATGATCCAGAGGAGGAATGGGAGAAGGTCATGTGGTCTGACGAGACCAAAATAGAGCGTTTTGGTCTAAACTCCACTCGCCGTGTTTGGAGGAAGAAGTAGGATGAGTACAACCCCAAGAACACCATTCCAACCGTGAAGCATGGAGGTGGAAACATCATTCTTTGGGGATGCTTTTCTGCAAAGGGGACCGGACGACTGCACCGTATTGAGGGGAGGATGGATGGGGCCATGTATCGCGAGATCTTGGCCAACAACCTCCTTCCCTCAGTAAGAGCATTGAAAGATGGGTCGTGACTGGGTCTTCCAGCATGACAACGACCCGAAACACACAGCCAGGGCAACTAAGGAGTGGCTCGTTAAGAAGCATCTCAAGGTCCTGGAGTGGCCTAGCCAGTCTCCAGACCTGAACCCAATAGAACATCTTTGGAGGGAGCTGAAAGTCCGTATTGCCCAGCGACAGCACCGAAACCTGAAGGATCTGGAGAAGGTCTGTATGGAGGAGTGGGCCAAAATCCCTGCTGCAGTGTGTGTGCAAACCTGGTCAAGACCTACAGGAAACGTATGATCTCTGTAATTGCAAACAAAGGTTTCTGTACCAAATATTAAGTTCTGCTTTTCTGATGTATCAAATACTTATGTCATGCAATAAAATGCAAATTAATTACTTAAAAATCATACAATGTGATTTTCTGGATTTTTGTTTTAGATTCCGTCTCTCACAGTTGAAGTGTACCTATGATAAAAATGACAGATCTCTACATGCTTTGTAAGTAGGAAAACCTGCAAAATCGGCAGTGTATCAAATACTTGTTCTCCCCACTGTATCTGTTTGGTCTGAGTTTAGAAGTAAAACATTTGCCGCCATTCACTTCTTTATGTCTACCATCAAGATTAATTGTCAGATCCAACAGAAGATCTCTTTGTTTCTTGGGAGCTAGAACTAGCATCTCTGTTTTGTCCGAGTTTAAAAGTAAAACATTTGCCACCATCCACTTCCTTATGTCTGAAACACAGGCTTCCAGGGTAGGCAATTTTGGGGCTTCACCATGTTTCATCGAAATGTACAGCAGAAATGTTGTCCGCATAGCAGTGAAAGTTGACATTGTGTTTCCGAATTATATCACCAAGAGGTAGAATATATAGTGAAAACAATAGTGGTCCTAAAACGGAACCTTGAGGAACACCAAAACGTACAATTTATTTGTCAGAGGACAAACCATCCACAGAGACGAACTGATATCTTTCCGACAGATAAGATCTAAACCAGGCAAGAACTTGTCCGTGTAGACCAGTTTGGAATTCCAATCTCTCCAATTGAATGTGGTGATCGATGGTGTCAAAAGCGGCACTAAGGTCTAGGAGCACAAGGACAGATGCAGAGCCTTGGTCTGATGCCATTAAAAGGTATTTTACCACCTTCACGAGTGCAGTCTCAGTGCTATGATGGGTTCTAAAACCAGACTGAAGCGTTTCGTATATATTTTTTGTCTTCAGGAAGGCAGTGAGTTGCTGCGCAACAGCTTTTTCAAATGTATTTTTGAGGAATGGGAGATTCGATATCGGCCGATTTTTTGTTTTTTACATTTTCCTGGTCAATGTTAGGCTTTTTCAAGAGAGGCTTTATTACTGCCACTTTTAGTGAGTTTGGTACACATCCGGAGGATAGGGAGCATTTATTATGTTCAACATAGGAGGGCCAAGCACAGGAAGTAGCTCTTTCAGTAGTTTAGTTGGAATAGGGTCCAGTATGCAGCTTGACGGTTTAGAGGCCATGAATGTGTCAAGAGAGAAGATTAAACAACTTGAGTGTCTCCATTGATCCTTGGTCCTGGCAGTTCTGTGCAGATTCAAAGAGGAGTCCGTAATTTGCTTTCTAATGATCATGATCTTTTCTTCTAAGAAGTTCATGAATTCATCACTGCTGAAGTGAAAGCCATCCTCTCTTGGGGAATGCTGCTTTTTAGTTAGCTTTGAGACAGTATCCGATTTTGGGGGGGGGATTGTTCTTATTCTCCTCAATTAGGTTGGAAAAATAGGATGATCGAGCAGTAGTGAGGGCTCTTCGATATTGCACGGTACTGTCTTTCCAAGCTAGTCGGAAGACTTCCAGTTTGGTGGAGTGCCATTTCCGTTCCAATTTTCTGGAAGCTTCCTTCAGGGCTCGGGTATTTTCTGTATACCAGGGAGCTAATTTCTTGTGACAAATGTTTTTTTTGTTTTTAGGGGTGCGACTGCATCTAGGGTAATACGCAAGGTAAAATTTAGATACTCAGTTAGCTGGTTAACCGATTTTTGTACTCCGACGACCTTGGAGGGATTCAGGAAGGGCATATAGGAATCTTTGGGTTGTCTGAGAATTTATAGCACAGCTTTCGATGGTCCTTGGTTGGGGTCTGAGCAGATTATTTGTTACGATTGCATAGTCCAGGATTATGAGGAAGATAATTTAGATCCACAATATTAATTCCACGGGACAAAACTAGATCCAGGGTATGACTGTGGCAATGAGTAGGTCCGGAAACATGTTGAAGTCGATGATGCCTCCGAAAGCCTTTTGCAGTTGGCCTGTGGACTTTTCCATGTGAACATTGAAGTCACCAAAATTGTTTAATATTATCTGCCATGACTACAAGGTCCAATAGGAATTCAGGGAACTCAGTGAGGAATGCTGTATACGGCCCAGGAGGACTGTAAACAGTAGCTATAAAAAGTGATTGAGTAGGCTGCATAGATTTCATCACTAGAAGCTCAAACAACGAAAACGCAAAACATTTTTGTTGTTGTTGTAAATTTACATTTGTTGTCGTAAATGTTAGCAACACCTCCGCCTGTGCGGGATGGTCACTAGTGTAACCAGGAGGAGAGTCCTCCATAGGTTCCAGCCAGGGCAGCAGACCTGTAGCTAAATCATACTATTCTGATTGTTATGGATGTGTAGCTAAATCATGGTACTCTGATTGGTTATGGATGTGAAGCTAAATCATGGTACTCTGATTGGTTATGGATGTGAAGCTAAATCATGCTATTCTGATTTGTTATGGATGTGTAGCTAAATCATGGTACTCTGATTTGTTATGGATGTGTAGCTAAATCATGGGACTCTGATTTGTTATGGATGTCTAGCTAAATCATGCTATTCTGATTTGTTATGGATGTGTAGCTAAATCATGCTATTCTTATGGTTATGCCTGTCTATCTTCAGAAACTCCTGGACCGTTTTGATTATGATGACGAACCAGAAGAAGTAAAGAGCGAGGAGATGAATCCCCTTGTTCCAGGGAACAGGTACAGCGGCCAGTTTCCTGGTCAGATGCAGCCCAACATGGAGCAACAGTTTCAGGGCCATATGATGGGCCAGCCTGGGAGGCAGCAGACACCTGATGGAGGATACCATGGTCTGAACCAGGGCTACGGCCAGAGTCAGCACACTGCCCAGCAGAACCAGGACCAGGACCAGCGAAACTCCAGAGAAAGAGAAGATCCATCTGGGAGGAGGGAGGGGAGGCAGCGTGGCCACGGCAGGAGGTCACGCTCCAGGTCTGGCTCTCGGTAAGAGGCTGGGCCCATGGTTGATATTAGTTGGTTATGTTTAGGAGACTTTAGTTGTTTTGTTTAGGATGAACAGATCCTCTAATGGAATCCTGTCTGTTCCCACCTTTTAGCTTTTAGTCCACCATATTACTGTTTCAGCTTTTAGTCCACCATATCACTGTTTTAGCTTGGCTTTTAGTCCACCATATGACTGACTGTTTTAGCTTGGCTTTTAGTCCACCATATGACTTTTAGCTTTTAGTCTACCATATGACTGTTTTAGCTTGGCTTTTAGTCCACCATATGACTGACTGTTTTAGCTTGGCTTTTAGTCCACCATATGACTGTTTTAGCTTGGCTTTTAGTCCACCATATGACTGACTGTTTTAGCTTGGCTTTTAGTCCACCATATGACTGTTTTAGCTTGGCATTTAGTCCACCATATGACTGTTTTAGCTTGGCTTTTAGTCCACCATATGACTGTTTTAGCTTAGCTTTTAGTCCACCATATGACTTTTAGCTTTTAGTCTACCATATGACTGTTTTAGCTTGGCTTTTAGTCCACCATATGACTGACTGTTTTAGCTTGGCTTTTAGTCCACCATATGACTGTTTTAGCTTGGCATTTAGTCCACCATATGACTGTTTTAGCTTGGCTTTTAGTCCACCATATGACTGTTTTAGCTTAGCTTTTAGTCCACCATATGACTTTTAGCTTTTAGTCCACCATATGACTGTTTTAGCTTGGCTTTTAGTCCACCATATGACTTTTAGCTTTTAGTCCACCATATGACTGTTTTAGCTTGGCTTTTAGTCTACCATATGACTGTTTTAGCTTGGCATTTAGTCCACCATATGACAGTTTTAGCTTGGCTTTTAGTCCACCATATGACTGTTTTAGCTTGGCTTTTAGTCCACCATATGACTGACTGTTTTAGCTTGGCTTTTAGTCCACCGTATGACTGTTTTAGCTTGGTTTTTAGTCTACCATATGACTGTTTTAGGTTTTAGTCTACCATATGACTGTTTTAGGTTTTAGTCTACCATATGACTGTTTTAGTCTACCATATGACTGTTTTAGGTTTTAGTCTACCATATGACTGTTTTAGCTTGGCTTTTAGTCCACCATATGACTGACTGTTTTAGCTTGGCTTTTAGTCCACCATATGACTGACTGTTTTAGCTTGGCTTTTAGTCCACCATATGACTGACTGTTTTAGCTTGGCTTTTAGTCCACCATATGACTGACTGTTTTAGCTTGGCTTTTAGTCCACCATATGACTGACTGTTTTAGCTTGGCTTTTAGTCCACCATATGACTGACTGTTTTAGCTTGGCTTTTAGTCCACCATATCACTGTTTTAGCTTGGCTTTTAGTCCACCATATGACTATTTTAGCTTGGCTTTTAGTCCACCATATGACTGTTTTAGCTTGGCTTTTAGTCTACCATATCACTGTTTTAGCTTGGCTTTTAGTCCACCATATGACTGTTTTAGCTTGGTTTTTAGTCCACCATATCACTGTTTTAGCTTGGCTTTTAGTCCACCATATGACTGACTGTTTTAGCTTGGCTTTTCGTCCACCGTATGACTGTTTTTAGCTTCGTTTTTAGTCTACCATATGACTGTTTTAGGTTTTAGTCTACCATATGACTGTTTTAGGTTTTAGTCTACCATATGACTGTTTTAGCTTGGCTTTTAGTCCACCATATGACTGTTTTAGCTTGGCTTTTAGTCCACCATATTACTGTTTTAGCTTGGCTTTTAGGCCAGCATATGAATGTTTTAGCTTGGCTTTTAGTCCACCATATGACTGTTTTAGCTTGGCTTTTAGTCCACCATATGACTGTTTTAGCTTGGCTTTTAGTCCACCATATGACTGTTTTAGCTTGGTTTTTAGTCTACCATATGACTGTTTTAGGTTTTAGTCTACCATATGACTGTTTTAGGGTTTAGTCTACCATATGACTGACTGTTTTAGCTTGGCTTTTAGTCCACCATATGACTGTTTTAGCTTGGCTTTTAGTCCACCATATGACTTTCAGCTTTTAGTCCACCATATGACTGTTTTAGCTTGGCTTTTAGTCCACCATATGACTGTTTTAGCTTAGCTTTTAGTCCACCATATGACCTTTAGCTTTTAGTCCACCATATGACTGTTTTAGCTTAGCTTTTAGTCCACCATATGACCTTTAGCTTTTAGTCCACCATATGACTGTTTTAGCTTGGCTTTTAGTCCACCATATGACTTTTAGCTTTTAGTCCACCATATGACTGTTTTAGCTTGGCTTTTAGTCTACCATATGACTGTTTTAGCTTGGCATTTAGTCCACCATATGACTGACTGTTTTAGCTTGGCTTTTAGTCCACCGTATGACTGTTTTAGCTTGGTTTTTAGTCTACCATATGACTGTTTTAGGTTTTAGTCTACCATATGACTGTTTTAGGTTTTAGTCTACCATATGACTGTTTTAGGTTTTAGTCTACCATATGACTGTTTTAGCTTGGCTTTTAGTCCACCATATGACTGACTGTTTTAGCTTGGCTTTTAGTCCACCATATCACTGTTTTAGCTTGGCTTTTAGTCCACCATATCACTGTTTTAGCTTGGCTTTTAGTCCACCATATGACTATTTTAGCTTGGCTTTTAGTCCACCATATGACTGTTTTAGCTTGGTTTTTAGTCCACCATATCACTGTTTTAGCTTGGCTTTTAGTCCACCATATGACTGACTGTTTTAGCTTGGCTTTTCGTCCACCGTATGACTGTTTTTAGCTTCGTTTTTAGTCTACCATATGACTGTTTTAGGTTTTAGTCTACCATATGACTGTTTTAGGTTTTAGTCTACCATATGACTGTTTTAGCTTGGCTTTTAGTCCACCATATGACTGTTTTAGCTTGGCTTTTAGTCCACCATATTACTGTTTTAGCTTGGCTTTTAGTCCACCATATGACTGTTTTAGCTTGGCTTTTAGTCCACCATATGACTGTTTTAGCTTGGCTTTTAGTCCACCATATGACTGTTTTAGCTTGGTTTTTAGTCTACCATATGACTGTTTTAGGTTTTAGTCTACCATATGACTGTTTTAGGGTTTAGTCTACCATATGACTGTTTTAGCTTGGCTTTTAGTCCACCATATGACTGACTGTTTTAGCTTGGCTTTTAGTCCACCATATGACTGTTTTAGCTTGGCTTTTAGTCCACCATATGACTTTTAGCTTTTAGTCCACCATATGACTGTTTTAGCTTGGCTTTTAGTCCACCATATGACTGTTTTAGCTTGGTTTTAGTCTACCATATGACTGTTTTAGGTTTTAGTCTACCATATGACTGTTTTAGGGTTTAGTCTACCATATGACTGTTTTAGGGTTTAGTCTACCATATGACTGTTTTAGCTTGGCTTTTAGTCCACCATATGACTGACTGTTTTAGCTTGGCTTTTAGTCCACCATATGACTGTTTTAGCTTGGCTTTTAGTCCACCATATGACTGTTTTAGCTTGGCTTTTAGTCCACCATATGACTGTTTTAGCTTGGCTTTTAGTCCACCATATTACTTTTAGCTTTTAGTCCACCATATGACGGTTTTAGCTTGGCTTTTAGTCCACCATATGACTGTTTTAGCTTGGCTTTTAATCCACCATATGACTGTTTTAGGTTTTAGTCTACCATATGACTGTTTTAGCTTGGCTTTTAGTCCACCATATGACTGACTGTTTTAGCTTGGCTTTTAGTCCACCATATTACTGTTTTAGCTTTTAGTCTACCATATGACTGTTTTAGCTTGGCTTTTAGTCCACCATATGACTGTTTTAGCTTTGTCTACCACATGACTGTTTTAGCTTGGTTTTTAGTCCACCATATGACTGTTTTAGCTTGGCTTTTAGTCCACCATATGACTGTTTTAGCTTGGCTTTTAGTCCACCATATCACTGTTTTAGCTTGGCTTTTAGTCCACCATATTACTGTTTTAGCTTGGCTTTTAGTCCACCATATCTCTGTTTTAGCTTGGTTTTTAGTCCACCATATTACTGTTTTAGCTTGGCTTTTAGTCCACCATATGACTGTTTTAGCTTGACTTTTAGTCCACCATATCACTGTTTTAGCTTTTAGTCCACCATATTACTGTTTTAGCTTGACTTTTAGTCCACCATATCACTGTTTTAGCTTGGTTTTTAGTCTACCATATGACTGTTTTAGCTTGGCTTTTGGTCCACCATATTACAGTTTTAGCTTGGCTTTTAGTCCACCATATGACTGTTTTAGCTTTGGCTTTTAGTTCACCATATGACTGTTTTAGCTTGGCTTTTAGTCCACCATATCACTGTTTTAGCTTTGGCTTTTAGTTCACCATATCACTGTTTTAGCTTGGCTTTTAGTTCACCATATGACTGTTTTAGCTTGGCTTTTAGTCCACCATATGACTGTTTTAGCTTGACTTTTAGTCTACCATATTACTGTTTTAGCTTGGCTTTTAATCCACCATATGACTGTTTTAGCTTTTAGTCCACCATATGACTGTTTTAGGTTTTAGTCTACCATATGACTGTTTTAGCTTGGCTTTTAGTCCACCATATGACTGTTTTAGCTTGGCTTTTAATCCACCATATGACTGTTTTAGGTTTTAGTCTACCATATGACTGTTTTAGCTTGGCTTTTAGTCCACCATATGACTGACTGTTTTAGCTTGGCTTTTAGTCCACCATATGACTGTTTTAGCTTTGTCTACCACATGACTGTTTTTGCTTGGCTTTTAGTCCACCATATGACTGTTTTAGCTTGGCATTTAGTCCACCATATGACTGTTTTAGCTTGGCTTTTAGTCCACCATATGACTGTTTTAGCTTGGCTTTTAGTCCACCATATCACTGTTTTAGCTTTTAGTCCACCATATCACTGTTTTAGCTTGACTTTTAGTCCACCATATCACTGTTTTAGCTTGGTTTTTAGTCCACCATATCACTGTTTTAGCTTGGTTTTTAGTCCACCATATCACTGTTTTAGCTTGGCTTTTAGTCCACCATATTACTGTTTTAGCTTGGCTTTCAGTCCACCATATCACTGTTTTAGCTTGGCTTTTAGTCCACCATATCACTGTTTTAGCTTGGCTTTTAGTCCACCATATCACTGTTTTAGCTTGGCTTTTAGTCCACCATATCACTGTTTTAGCTTGGCTTTTAGTCCACCATATGACTGTTTTAGCTTGACTTTTAGTCCACCATATCACTGTTTTAGCTTGGCTTTTAGGCCACCATATGACTGTTTTAGCTTTTAGGCCACCATATGACTGTTTTAGCTTGGCTTTTAGTCCACCATATGACTGTTTTAGCTTGGCTTTTAGTCTACCATATTACTGTTTTAGCTTTTAATCCACCATATGACTGTTTTAGGTTTTAGTCTACCATATGACTGTTTTAGCTTTTAATCCACCATATGACTGTTTTAGGTTTTAGTCTACCATATGACTGTTTTAGCTTGGCTTTTAGTCCACCATATGACTGACTGTTTTAGCTTGGCTTTTAGTCCACCATATGACTTTTAGCTTTTAGTCTACCATATGACTGTTTTAGCTTGGCTTTTAGTCCACCATATGACTGTTTTAGCTTTGTCTACCACATGACTGTTTTTGCTTGGCTTTTAGTCCACCATATGACTGTTTTAGCTTGGCATTTAGTCCACCATATGACTGTTTTAGCTTGGCTTTTAGTCCACCATATGACTGTTTTAGCTTGGCTTTTAGTCCACCATATCACTGTTTTAGCTTGACTTTTAGTCCACCATATCACTGTTTTAGCTTGGTTTTTAGTCCACCATATCACTGTTTTAGCTTGACTTTTAGTCCACCATATCACTGTTTTAGCTTGGTTTTTAGTCCACCATATCACTGTTTTAGCTTGGCTTTTAGTCCACCATATCACTGTTTTAGCTTGGCTTTTAGTCCACCATATTACTGTTTTAGCTTGGCTTTTAGTCCACCATATCACTGTTTTAGCTTGGCTTTTAGTCCACCATATCACTGTTTTAGCTTGGCTTTTAGTCCACCATATCACTGTTTTAGCTTGGCTTTTAGTCCACCATATCACTGTTTTAGCTTGGCTTTTAGTCCACCATATGACTGTTTTAGCTTGACTTTTAGTCCACCATATCACTGTTTTAGCTTGGCTTTTAGGCCACCATATGACTGTTTTAGCTTTTAGGCCACCATATGACTGTTTTAGCTTGGCTTTTAGTCCACCATATGACTGTTTTAGCTTGGCTTTTAGTCTACCATATTACTGTTTTAGCTTTTAATCCACCATATGACTGTTTTAGGTTTTAGTCTACCATATGACTGGTTTAGCTTGGCTTTTAGTCCACCAATAACTGACTGTTTTAGCTTGGCTTTTAGTCCACCATATCACTGTTTTAGCTTGGCTTTTAGTCCACCATATTACTGTTTTAGCTTGGCTTTTAGTCCACCATATCACTGTTTTAGCTTGGCTTTTAGTCCACCATATCACTGTTTTAGCTTGGCTTTTAGTCCACCATATCACTGTTTTAGCTTGGCTTTTAGTCCACCATATCACTGTTTTAGCTTGGCTTTTAGTCCACCATATGACTGTTTTAGCTTGGCTTTTAGTCCACCATATGACTGTTTTAGCTTGGCTTTTAGTCCACCATATCACTGTTTTAGCTTGGTTTTTAGTCCACCATATCACTGTTTTAGCTTTGGCTTTTAGTCCACCATATGACTGTTTTAGCTTTTAGTCCACCATATCACTGTTTTAGCTTTTAGTCCACCATATCACTGTTTTTGCTTGGCTTTTAGTTCACCATATTACTATTTTAGCTTTTAGTCCACCATATCACTGTTTTAGCTTGGCTTTTAGTCCACCATATCACTGTTTTAGCTTTGGCTTTTAGTCCACCATATGACTGTTTTAGCTTTTAGTCCACCATATCACTGTTTTAGCTTTGGCTTTTAGTCCACCATATGACTGTTTTAGCTTTTAGTCCACCATATCACTGTTTTTGCTTGGCTTTTAGTCCACCATATGACTGTTTTAGCTTGGCTTTTAGTCCACCATATCACTGTTTTAGCTTGGCTTTTAGTCCACCATATCACTGTTTTAGCTTTGGCTTTTAGTCCACCATATGACTGTTTTAGCTTTTAGTCCACCATATCACTGTTTTAGCTTTTAGTCCACCATATCACTGTTTTTGCTTGGCTTTTAGTTCACCATATTACTATTTTAGCTTGGCTTTTAGTCCACCATATCACTGTTTTAGCTTGGCTTTTAGTCCACCATTTCACTGTTTTAGCTTGGCTTTTAGTCCACCATATGACTGTTTTAGCTTGGCTTTTAGTCCACCATATGACTGTTTTAGCTTGGCTTTTAGTCCACCATATGACTGATTGTTTTAGCTTGGCTTTTAGTCCACCATATATGACTGATTGTTTTAGCTTGGCTTTTAGTCCACCATATGATTGTTTTAGCTTGGCTTTTAGTCCACCATATGACTGCTTTAGCTTGGCTTTTAGTCCACCATATGACTGTTTTAGCTTGGCTTTTAGTCCACCATATGACTGTTTTAGCTTGGCTTTTAGTCCACCATATGACTGTTTTAGCTTGGTTTTTAGTCCACCATATGACTGTTTTAGCTTGGCTTCTAGTCCACCATATGACTGTTTTAGCTTGGCTTTTAGTCCACCATATCACTGTTTTAGCTTTTAGTTCACCATATCACTGTTTTAGCTTGGCTTTTAGTCCACCATATGACTGTTTTAGCTTGACTTTTAGTCTACCATATCACTGTTTTTGCTTGGCTTCTAGTCCACCATATGACTGTTTTAGCTTGGCTTTTAGTCCACCATATCACTGTTTTAGCTTGGCTTTTAGTCCACCATATCACTGTTTTAGCTTTTAGTCCACCATATGACTGTTTTAGCTTGGCTTCTAGTCCACCATATGACTGTTTTAGGTTGGCTTTTAGTCCACCATATCACTGTTTTAGCTTGGCTTTTAGTCCACCATATCACTGTTTTAGCTTGGCTTTTAGTCCACTATATAACTGTTTTAGCTTTTAGTCCACCATATGATTGTTTTACTCTTTTTAAGTGCATTGCGATTTTAAATGCACTTTAAATAAGATTTGATTTGAATTCTCCAGTTCTCCCAGGAGAAAGAGGTCCAGGTCCGGTTCTCCCTCCCGGAAGCCCCGACACTCGTCACAGCGCTCTGGGTCCCGCTCCAGGGAAAGTCGCTGGAACTCCCCTCGCTCCCGCTCGCAGGAGAGGAAGGAGAGAGAGAAGGAGCGGGAGAAGGACAAAGAACGCAGACAGAAAGGTCTGCCCAGCATCAAGAGCCAGACACTCAGTGGTACGTACTGTCAGATACACACAAGGAGTGCGTCCCAAATGGCACCCTATTCTCTACTACTATTGACCAGGGCCCATATTGAAATGTTTCCCTCGTTGTGTAGTTTGCACCACCACTCTGTGGGTTGGCCAGCTCGACAAGAAGACCACTCAGCAGGACGTCATGTCTTTACTAGAGGAGTTCGGACAGATCGACTCCATCAATGTAAGTATGAGGGCCGACACTTACAATACTCACTGGCGCCCTAATTCCCTTTTTAAATAGTGCACTACTTTTCACTGGAGCCACATAAGAAATAGTCCAATAGGAGAGATCTCTATATATATATATAGGACATAGGGGGGGGCGATTGACCCTCAAAAAATACAGTAGGCTGTGGTGAAAAGGAACAACTTAGGAGCTAATACCAACCTCCCGCTCCCCTCCAGATGATCCCTCCTCGGGGCTGTGCCTACATAATGATGGTCCACAGGCAGGATGCCTACAGAGCTCTACACAAACTCAGCAGAGGATCCTTCAAGGTCAACCAGAAGGCCATTAAGGTACTTTTTGATTTATTTGATTTATGTTAAACCAACCCTTTTTTTTTTTTTTTTTTTTTTTTTTTTTTATAATTATAAACTAGGTGAGTCTGTCAAATAACAAATTCTGATTTTACAAAGAGGACCTGCTAAATAAATTATTTACTCTCTTTCAGGAGCTTGTTCAGGGCTCAAACTGCGGCCGAAACACCCGCATTTGCGATGCTTTGACTTGGCAGTGCGACACCAATTTTGTTATTCGTTGCTAGGGTGCCTGTAGCTAGGTTTCCATCCAATTGGCGACGTATTTTCATGCGAATACTCTAGAATCCGCGTAAAGAAAATATGCGCATTTTCCCACCGGTGTTTAAACCAAATCAGTGCGTGATGACAGTGCACACAACGTAGTTTTTCGCTTAAGTTTTCATGTACTGAATAAAAATCTAAAGTTCAATATATTTCCATCGCGTTTTCAACCCTAACGATAGTTTTGTCACAAAAACTGTTGTGTTAAATAGCAAATGTGCCTACTTTGGTCTTGGCACCTGCACTCTAGCCAACAGCTCCCAGATGCAGTGTGGGTAGGCTAGTCTACATGATGATTATTATGGATAAGAGCAAGAATATTTTGGTCAAAAGGCAGTCAAGCATCGATCATTATGTCACCAGAATAAGAACCTCAATATTTATTGTAAAGGAGCATCAAGATCACTGTGCACTTTCATCACCCTGTGACGTTAATCCTAATTTATTTCATCTGTAGCCTAATAAACTGCATAGTTTCCCCGAGTCGTAATGGGAGGACCACACGCCATATCGCGTGACTCCAAGTTTACTTCGATGTGATGGTTATTATATCAATATTTGTTTCCACCGCCAATTAATTTTACAGACACAAAAAGATCCCACCATGTTGAACAAACAAATTATCTGTAGGCATTTATAAAATGCTACCCAAACATCCTGTTTCCATCACAGCTGTTGTGATTTTTTTTTATACTGGATGATTTTTCTTGCATAACTGTGGATGGAAACATGGTTTATGAAAAAAATATAGCTGGTCATGTTAGTTTGTGGTTCACAATTGCCTTTTTTTGTTGACTTATTCAAACAGCAATGGGTATGCAAACCAAACTAACAAACATTGTAGATTAGAAATTATAGGAATTAACGGTAAATGTACTACTGGTGATATATCTAATGGGGAATTGATATACGTTAACAATCAAACGCAAACAACTCACACAATGAAGTTATGAAACAATAAATTGGCGGGAGAGAGTACATTCTGGAGAGAAAAGTGCATTGTGCATCTGGGTGCATGGTCAATCCGACATCTGCATTGGCCATGCAGGATTTACTGTGATATGGCTTCAGCAGAAGTCAGGGCAAGAATGGCTTCAGCAGAAGTCGGGGCAAGAATGGCTTCAGCAGAAGTCGGGGCAAGAATGGCTTCAGCAGAAGTCGGGGCATTCCTACCTCTTACGCTTTGCAGAGCAGAGCTGTTGTCAAGGAAGTGAGTTTGTGTTTATACAGGATGTACCGCCCCCACCTACCGTCAACCAATCATGTCAATGCGGCGCTATACAGAGGCGCATGGTGATGCGGTAGGGAGCTCTATTTGGCCTCTGCATGCCTCTGGAGGCTCCGCAGTTGCGTCACACCCTCCATATGGAGCCTCCGACCACATTTACAAATGAAGCGTATATTGGCTTTTAGTCTAGGCCTCCGCAATGGATTAGTTCACTGAGATGGGCGCAAATATATATACTGTATTTTCCGCACTATAAGGCGCACTTAAAAGCCTTTAATTTTCTCAGAAAACGACAGTGCGCCTTATAATCCGGAGCGCCTTATATATGGATTAATTGGTTGATCCATAATGGTTGTACGCTCAAGGCGCTCTGTCAAAATGTTTCAGTATGAAAAACCAATAAAAACAATTTAATAATAATGAAATGTTTCAGTACGACTGGTAAACTACAAAGCCGCACCGCTTGCAGCATTACGGCTACCGTAGTCAGTAAACACCGGTCCTGTGCTTACTCACAGTCCCACACCACTTGTGTGTGTATAAAGACCCCAAAATTGTTGTCAGAACGCTTAATAAAGTTTGACTTTATCTGACTGTTTTGTTGACATTCCCTTTAGCACAGCTCCATCTAGTGGATGCATAACGCAACCCCAGTCAAACGTTTGACTGCAGTATCTTCTATTCTATGCGCCTTATAATCCGGTGCGCCCTATATATGAAAACAGTTCTAAAATAGGCCATTCATTCGCCTTATAGTGCGGAAAATACGGTATATATATATATATATATATATACAGGTAAAAGTCAGTAAATTAGAATATTTTGAAAAACTTGATTTATTTCAGTAATTGCATTCAAAAGGTGTAACTTGTACATTATATTTATTCATTGCACACAGACTGATGCATTCAAATGTTTATTTCATTTAACTTTGATGATTTGAAGTGGCAACAAATGAAAATCCAAAATTCCGTGTGTCACAAAATTAGAATATTGTGTAAGGGTTACATTTTGAAGACACCTGGTGCCACAAAATAATCAGCTGATTAACTCAAAACACCTGCAAAGGGCTTTAAATGGTCTCTCAGTCCAGTTCTGAAGCCTACACAAACATGGGGAAGACTTCAGATTTGACAGCTGTCCAAAAGGCGACCATCGACACATTGCACAAGGAGGGAAAGACACAAAAGGTTATTGCAGAAGAGGCTGGCTGTTCTCAGAGCTCTGTGTCCAAACACATTAATAGAGAGGCAAAGGGAAGGAAAAACTGTGGTCAGAAAAAGTGTACAAGCGATAGGGATCACCGCGCCCTAGTCAAGATTGTGAAAAAAAACCCATTCAAAAATGTGGGGGAGATTCACAAGGAGTGGACAGCTGCTGGAGTCAGGGCTTCAAGATCCACCACCAAGAGACGCTTGAAAGACATGGGTTTCAACTGCCGCATACCTCGTGTCAAGCCACTGTTGACCAAGAAACAGCGCGAAAAGCGTCTCACCTGGGCTAAGGAAAAAAAGAGCTGGACTGCTGCTGAGTGGTCTAAAGTCATGTTTTCTGACGAAAGCAAATTTTGCATTTCCTTTGGAAATCGAGGTCCCAGAGTCTGGAGGAAGACAGGAGAGGCACAGGATCCACGTTGCCTGAAGTCTAGTGTAAAGTTTCCACCATCAGTGATGGTTTGGGGTGCCATGTCATCTGCTGGTGTCGGTCCACTCTGTTTCCTGAGATCAAGGGTCAACGCAGCCGTCTACCAGCAAGTTTTAGAGCACTTCATGCTTCCTGCTGCTGACCTGCTCTATGGAGATGGAGATTTCAGGTTCCAACAGGACTTGGCGCCTGCACACAGCGCAAAATCTACCCGTGCCTGGTTTACGGACCATGGTATTTCTGTTCTAAATTGGCCAGCCAACTCCCCTGACCTTAGCCCCATAGAAAATCTGTGGGGTATTGTGAAAAGGAAGATGCAGAATGCCAGACCCAACAACGCAGAAGAGTTGAAGGCCACTATCAGAGCAACCTGGGCTCTCATAACACCTGAGCAGTGCCAGAAACTCATCGACTCCATGCCACGCCGCATTAATGCAGTAATTGAGGCAAAAGGAGCTCCAACCAAGTATTGAGTATTGTACATGCTCATATTTTTCATTTTCATACTTTTCAGTTGGCCAACATTTCTAAAAAATCCCTTTTTTGTATTAGCCTTAAGTAATATTCTAATTTTGTGACACACGGAATTTTGGATTTTCATTTGTTGCCACTTCAAATCATCAAAATTAAATGAAATAAACATTTGAATGCATCAGTCTGTGTGCAATGAATAAATATAATGTACAAGTTACACCTTTTGAATGCAATTACTGAAATAAATCAAGTTTTTCAAAATATTCTAATTTACTGACTTTTACCTGTATATACAGCTGTGGAAAAAAATTGAGACCACTGCAAAATTATCAGTTTCTCTGGTTTTACTATTTATAGGTATGTGTTTGGGTAAAAATAACATTTTTGTTTTATTCTATAAACTACTGACAACATTTCTCCCAAATTCCAAATAAAAATATTGTCATTTAGAGCATTTATTTGCAGAAAATGACAACTGGTCAAAATAACAAAAAAGATGCAGTGTTGTCAGACCTCGAATAATGCAAAGAAAATTAGTTCATGTTCATTTTTAAACAACACAATAGTAATATTTTAACTTAGGAAGAGTTCAGAAATCAATATTTGGTGGAATAACCCTGATTTTCAATCACAGCTTTCATGCACTTTGGCATGCTCTCCACCAGTCTTTCACATTGATGTTGGGTGACTTTATGCCACTCCTGGCGCAAAGATTCAAGCAGCTCGGCTTTGTTTGATGGCTTGTGACCATCCATCTTCCTCTTGATGACATTCCAGAAGTTTTCAATGGGGTTCAGGTCTGGAGATTGGGCTGGCCATGACAGGGTCTTGATCTGGTGGTCCTCCATCCACACCTTGATTGATCTGGCTGTGTGGCATGGCGCATTGTCCTGCTGGGAAAATCCAATCCTCAGAGTTGGGGAACAATGTCAGAGCAAAAGGAAGCAAGTTTGCATCCAGGACAACCTTGTACGTGGCTTGATTCATGCGTCCTTCACAAAGACAAATCTGCCCGATTCCAGCCTTGCTGAAGCACCCCCAGATCATCACCGATCCTCCACCAAATTTCATAGTGGGTGCGAGACACTGTGGCTTATAGGCCTCTCCAGGTCTCCATCTAACCATTAGACGACCAGGTGTTGAGCAAGGCTGAAAATTGGACTCATCAGAGAAGATGACCTTACTCCAGTCCTCTACGGTCCAATCCTTATGGTCTTTTGCAAACCACAGCCTGGCTTTTCTTTGCTTCTCATTGATGAAGGGCTTTTTTCTAGCTTTGCACGACTTCAGCCCTGCCCCTAGGAGCCTGTTTTGAACCGTCCTCGCCATGCACTTCACTCCAGCTGCCGTTTGCCATTCTTTTTGTAG